TATGTACATAATTAAATAAATGCAGAAGGCTATAAGGACAGAATTAATGAAAAAAACGCAATTACATCGTGCATATTTATCTAATCTTGTTTGTAATTAATTTGTTGATTGTTCCAAGACACTAACACGCATCTTCAACTGCTTTTGTGTATTACTGCAATTAAGTGTAGGAATATTTTTAATAAAAAAATCACTAATATTATTCTAGGTAATTACATTTTATCAAATAAAATTTTCATATCAAATAAATATATATACATGTATAATGACATGTAATTTTAATTGTTGATTTCAGGCACTAAGATTTGCCATGGCAGTGCAGCTCACTGAGCTTATTACTGTACCTCCCAAGTCCACATCTGACACTATTTGCAATGATGCTAATTGTAAGAGCGATGACATTGGGAAAAACTCGTCAAATCTTTACAAATCACAGAATATTCGCGAAAATCCAGCTTTCTCTGACAAGGATGAAGTATGAAGATTAAAAATAAATGTAACTTTTGTCAATGTGAATGCTCAAAAATATTGTATGTGTTAAAATCAATATCATTTTATTCTTAAAAATTCATTCTTAAAATTGTACACTAGAGATGTATGTACGATACGTCAGATACATATTATATATCGTATGTATTGTATCTACTACCGTGTACTCATTGAAAGTATTCTCTTTTTTTAAAATGGTATGTCCAGAGAGGTATTCTCTGCTAAAACGCGACTCTGATTTCAAACTTGAATATAAGAAATGACTATAAATATCGGCCTACATCGATGTACTCTTTGCTTTGATTATATCGACAGTGTCAGAAAATGGATGCAGCAACGTAGTACCCATTTTGAAAAGTGAAAGGTACTATAGCGCCACTAGCGGTAATGTATATACAGTTTCGATTAATTTCGACGATCTCACGAAAAATACAAAAGACAGGAGACAGGAGTCAGGGATGAGCTTTCTTAGGAACCTCAAGTTTCTCCTGATTTCTCTCTGATAGCGTTAAGTGAATTGTATTCTTGTTTTACGTCCAACGATAGAATGACACATGAAGGCACTCGAGCATACGTATCATATATAAAATTAACAGCAGCCTATACTGCTCCTTATAATTAATCAGCTGTTTAACCATGTGGCAATTTGCAGAAGTTAGTCATGATCACATAATTAAAATAATCTACTGTCACGAATTTAAACTCTGTGATATAAAAAGTTGAATTCTATTTTATACGACAATTAACGTGAATAAATAATATATTGTTATATTACAATTTATATGTTGTCTCGTTAAATTTAAATGTTATTATATTGTTACTATATATTACTTGAGTGTTGAACAGAGACAATAATTTATAATTTCGAACTCATTTAAAAGTAAAAGTGAAAATATATTCCATAATACATTTATGTATGCTATATTTTTAATGAATAATGGAAGCCATTAATGATGTGGAACAATTTCTTGTTGATATTTGGCACGATATTGCTGGTTTTGTAAGTGAATCTGCAGTCTATATAGATCATGCAGCAACGGAATGCCTTCACTGGCACACTGGTGGCAAAATACATTCCTTCTTTAAGGATGCCGGTGCAACGTCAGTTCATGAACTGGATATGTACAACTTTCGTGTATGTGATTATGTAGTAAAAATATGTTTTTGTTCACAAAAGTCTCATATAATTTTAAAATGGTTAATTTATTATATAATTTGTTACAGTATGTCAAAGTACAGAACTGCAAAAAGGTGGTTATTATTTCTACTTCTACTGATCCAGCTTTTTATCAACGTACAGTTAAGATGATATTAGAGAAAAATGCATTTGAACATTGTACAATTATTACTGCTGCACATTCAAGCATGTTGAATTACGAGGATTCAGCTATTAGAGGACAGAACAGATTATAATAAATTAAAGAGAGATGTAAAAAGCTGGATGCATTCCAATCAGCTGTTGCAGGTAATATTTATTTGTTTAACATACAAGTTTTTAATTTCAAATTGAGTTTATTATGTATTATTACGGTTTTATTATTATATATTGATTGTTATAGGATTGTTCAGTCACAATACTATTTCGACCAATTTTTATTAGTCTAATTGACAGTGGTCTGTTTGTAACACCACCTTTCAGTGATCTATTATCACCGTTAAATAATGCATTGTTAAAGAATTCAGAGTATGCAGTTGATCATTTTGTAAGTTTGTTTAACAGTTTATTAACATATTTGAATTTGAAAGAAGATATTTATTCAGTGGGAAAATTTGGTGAATATGTTGCTGAAAAATTAGAAACGTTACCAACGGCGATCGATCGTAGAAACGTAAGTTTTTGAAAGAATAATTATAATGTTTATAATTAATTAAAAAAGAGTAACGAAGGTATTAAAAAATATAAAACATTTTACTTTAATATAATAATTTTATATAGAGTGTAATTGCTACAAAGGGAAAGGGAGTGTCTTTAATCTTTGTCGACAGAGTATTAGATCTCTGTACTTCCACTAGTAACAATACTGAATCGTTGCTATCCAGAATATTGTGCACTTTACCTCATTTACCTCATCATTACAACGACGTTGCAATAAATATGTCTCCTTTATTTTGTGGTTCACAGGTATACTAGCTCATTATAATTTTAATTTCATTGCATATACAAATTTATTGATTTATTTATATAGACGACTCTCGTAATTGCCCTCTACATTTTTCTCATCATTTAAATATTATAAAAATTATAAAAATGTCAATTATTATATAAAAATTGTATAAAAGCATTTTTATGTTTTAAGAAATTTGTCGATATACCAGGATGCTTGGCCAGCAATGATAAAACGCTAATGAATATATTAATCACAAAAAAACAAAAGGACGTATTGGCTACTATGAATAAACTGCTCGTCGACATACTTTCAACAAAAGAAAATTTAAAACTAAAAGAAAATCTGAAACCAAAACTGGGAACGAGAATTTCTGCACATAGTTTAGAAAAGCTCATAAATAAATTTCAAGATATAGCTGATCTTCATACTATATCAGAATCAAGCAAAAAGCTTCAAGTATGTATACCCCAATAATAAAGTAATTAAAATTTAATGTGTTTTATTTTGACGGTTAAAATAATTTCTAGATGTTTGTAATTTTCTCATAATATAAATAATTTAGAAAATCATGAATTTATTTGAATATTATTTGAAATCATTTGAATATTACTTATTTTGTAGGTGGTATTGGGAATTATACAAGCCTTAACATCAGAAAAGACTTCACGATTAGACCTATTAATTAGTCTCGAGAAATTAATTTTACAAAACATAGCTGTGAGTCGTGATTCTACAAGCGTGCTTGGACAAGTAATTATCGTATTTAGTTTCTTATACACTCTTAATATTTGCACCCTTTTTTGTAAGGTTACACTTTTTCTTTCGAATATTTCCAGTTAAGCAATATAATAAAAACTCGCGAAAAACGAGGGCTAGATACAGACAATATATTGGCACTTTTGGTGCATATTTATGCGTTAGCTGGAACCGAAATACAATTCTCTCTTCAACAAGAGCAACAGCTAGAAGAAGCTATCACTGACGCTGTATTTGAAGATATTACAAAATTAAAGGAAAACACAACGAACAGCAAATTGTCAATGTATCAACAAACTTTATCTCTTTTTGGTCAGTAAAATATGCTACAAAATATAGGAATAATAAATCATGCAAATAACATTGTTATGAAAAATATTTTAATATTACAAATATAAAACAAGATCAGAGAATATAATGATTAACATAAAATTCCGTTTAACAACGAAAAAACAAAATATATGTATCAAATATGCTCAAAAATATTGTTACACTGATCATTTTATTAAACTTTCTTATCTTATGGCTAATTTTTTTATCTGTAGATAATTTTATCCAAGAGATATCTCTCAGATATCTCATGGATAGTCATTGACAATTTATCTAGAAATAAAGAAATTGGCCATTACTTAATTAAATTTTTTAATAAATGTGTCATGAAAATATAGATTATATATTCATTAAGACTGATAATGTTCGAGCTTATTGAATAATTACAGATAAATAAGTTTATAATTTAAGTTTATATAATATATCTTCAATATAACAATGATATATATCTAAATTAGACGTTACAGAGGCTGAGACTATAAAGGAAACATCTGTAAAAATAGCGAATCACATTATGAAGACCTTACATGAAATAGCACAACAACGCGCGCCTCTACATACCTATAAGTATGAAACTATAAAAAATATATATATAATTTACACATACATATAATACACAATTATTATGAAATATGTCTTTATGTCTGTATATGCACATTACAAATATTTTTTAGTATTTATATTTTTTAAAAATACAATTCATTTTGAAATTAAATGTATGGTATATAGTTTCAGAATGGTTCTAATTCTTATTTCATATATTACATGTTTTAAATATTCATATTTAATGTATATAAAAAAATATGTATATAAAAAATATATGTAATATGCGTATACAAATGTAATGACATATTCTATTATACTTATATGGCTATTTTTAAATATTTTGTACAGTTCCTTGATGTCTAAATCAAGTTCTCAAGAGATTGTTCAACGTATTGGCATCTTGCAACAATTATTAACAGATATACTTCAGTCAGATAGACATGAACTTCCAGATTTACATCAAAGATCACGCTCATTTATTTCGGCTGGATTCAAGTAAGTTTATATATTATATTATCATTATATTATGCATTATTATATACATTATTAAATGGATATCTCAATTTTTCTAAAGAAATTCTGAAGAAAATCTAGTTTTATATATCTTTGACAGCTTACTTTCTAAAGGAAGAATAAAACATCATCCATGTGATAACAATTGGATTATCATTTACGTCATTGGAGGTATAACACCAGAAGAAATAAGAGAAACTAAAGAAATTATATCACTATTTAATACAAATTGCCAAATAACAATAGCAGGTTCTAGGCTATTAAATCCATTAGATATAGTGGACAAGGTTCTTCTCTCATCGATTAATTATTGAAATATTATTGCATCCATTTTATACCAGAATCAGATATTGTATAACAAATCTGTTTTACATCATTAGTGGATTGTACATGACACATAAACTTATGAACTTTAGTACTAAGACTTAGCTGCAGCCTATAATTTACACCTGTTCTCTTTAATATATCTGTACATTTCGCATGTGATTCGTATTTGGGTCCATCCCATCTAGTGTAAACTGTCACAGTGTGAAACTGAGATGTTTGGGATCGAATAATTTTGAGTAAGCTTGTAGCATAATAATTCATAGTAAGTATATTCTCTTTTCTCGCCTGCCAATAATACGCTAGTATATTATCTATAGCTAACAAAGTGATTCTTTCATTGCTGAGAAGCTCATCTTCAAGTGTGTATAGAATCAGCTGAAGTTCACCGTTGTTACAACAGCTGATCACTGTCAAGTTTTCCAGAGATCTGTTTATTATGTAGTCTACCGTTTCGGCTAGCGGTTGTACATCAGCTACCTGATATGCGTTGCATACCATGGAAGTCATTAGTTCAACTATCTTACTTATCTGCACATGGCCAAGTGTGTTGATCAGTATCGCACAGGCATCGCATCCGTTGATCTTGATCTCCTTATATCGCGCGGGTAATATACATTTTGCTATGAACTGGCACAATAATACAGTCTTTCCAGTGGATGAAGCCCCGATGATCTCTATGATGCTTTTGTTGTCGATATCACTTGAGAAAAGTACGTCGTCGAGGTTAATCGAACGTGATTTCTCACTAAATCTCGATAACAGCTCTAACCCACCTTCGGAATGGAACTCCATATTGTTAATAATTTAGGAAGATACGTCTGTTTTCTTTCTACCATGACGATTCAAACTTTATTAATTAACGTGTATTGTCTTGATTATTCACGGAATTCGACCAAATCCCGCCAGATCTTTCGTAGCAGCCATTTTTGTTTCATGTCGTCATGTAGATACGATACTATCGAATCGATCATGGTAGAAAGACCATGGAATCGATATTCTCGCATATTTCAATATTATTTTCGAGATATTAAAAATTCTTATGTATATTACAATTAATTCATTATAATTTCTTTATTTCTAATAATTAGTAAAATATTTTAGATTACATTTCTACGTTAGAAAGTTACTATAATTGATTTACTGTTTTAATCATATTGATATTTTTTGAGAATTGCAATTTATTGTTTTTTGATAGATTTCGAATTGTTGAGGAAATGAATAGGGTCGGATTAAGATTTTTGCTGCTCCTAGGCAGTGAAATTCTTGCCACCTCCATTCAACTATCCAATAACCATATTGGCGTAAAGAACAAAAAAGGTCATTTATATAGAGATCGAAGAACCTTATTATCTTTATTGCACGTTTACGGTGTGTGACAAAAAAAATTAGTTATCTTTAGAACTTTTTTTTAAAAAATGCCGCCCCTAAGCAAAAATAAATTTAAATCGCTTCATTACAAATATACATATAAATATATTTATAAATTTGTATAATTCTTAAATTTATTTCTTTCGTGTATATATATATATATATATGCAGGTGCCCTGAAATTCGCAAATCAAAATACAGTAAGAAGAAGTATCTTATTATATGCAATACCCTCCATAAGTTTGAAAACAAATCTACATTTTAGAGATAAATTACATGACAGCGGTTTATATTTTTTATTTAAATAGATCAGACAATAGTAAGACATCCAAATTACGATGAACATTTTTATCTAAAACACTTATAAGCTTGCCGAAAATATGTCGGAAATTATTTCTATCTTGAGATGCGATTCATACGAAATATGATTCTTCGGTGCCATTTTCGATGACTGTTGTAGTTTTTACTGTTTTTACGGAATCTGAAATCTTGCAACTCAAACAATTTACCGCTTTAACAGAAACCGTGAAACTACAATCAACGATCTGTGATAAAAAGGAGTGACAATAGGTAAACAATAGATCACAGCGCGAAATTCAACTTTGAGCGCTTCGATGCTGTGAAATATTTGTCCAACATATTTTCGGTATGTACAAGCTTATAAGTGTTCTAGATAAAAATGTTCATCGTAATTTGGACGTCTTCTGATCTATTTAAATCAAGAACATGTATAAATCGCTGTCATGTAATTGTTTGTCTCTAAAAAAGTAGGTTTTCAAACTTACGAAGGGTACTGTATATACATGTACAATAAATTCTTGTAAAAAGAATTCTTATATTATTGTTACAATGAAATTATTGATAAATTTTTATTTTAATACTATTTGTGAAATAAAAATAAATTTAAATAATAAATTAGATTGTTATTTTAATTTTATTTAGACGGAATATGTAATATGTTTAAAAGCCAAAAAGCACATTTTCTAGAACATTTTCATAGACAAAAACGACCAGCTAAACGTAATCTATAATTGGTTATACAGTATACTTAAGTATAAGTTATATACAGAGGACACATATGGCTATATTTTTACATTCATATGTTTTTCAACATTTTCAATATTTTCAATGTTTTCAATATTTTCAATATTATATATAATATACTGAATCGATGAAGCAAAAATTACACAAGCACACAAAAAGATTTTGGATCAGCAGATTAGACAATGGTATTCTTGTGTATTTTGACGCTCTAAAATCTATGTTCAAATTGCTTTTCATCACATCAAAACTTTTTTTATCGGCAGAAAAATTTTTTTTAATATATTTAATCTGTACCAACTAACCCTCTCTCTTTCTTTTTCGCATATTAACTATAAAGCTTGCATATGATTCTTAAATTTACTTTTCTTTGTTTTATTTTAACTAACATATTAAAAATCATAAACTAAAATAAACCCACTCTAAAAATACTAAAAAATCAGGCTACATTTTATTGATAAAAACAATTGTCTTGATATGGAGCAATTTGGATATCGGATTCGGTTTCAGCTTCAAAATTTGTAAGAATAGCGTTGTCTAATTTCCAGACCAAGTAATTTTGTCTTGTGTGCTTGTGTTACTTAAAATTGATTATTCCAAACAGATTAGTTTACAACAATTGAAAAGAGGTTGCAACTCAAAAAGGTTGCTTCTCAAAATTAATGGAAAAGATGAAAATCTTCAATATAAAACCAAAATGGTCAAAAATGCTGAAGTAATTAGAAGATTAAAAGTAAACACTTTTATCGTCAATAACTAATTTTATTACATTTGCAATAAAAACAAATAACGATATTTGTAATGTGATAACGTCAAGCGTTTCGATCCACTTTGTATATACCCTCCCTGAGAAATTCGCAAACTCAAGTTTCGCCGCGCCAAACTCAACAGGCCAAATCGACACACAGCGTGTCTAACATCATGCCCGCGCGAATGCCTTGCCCCTCCACAAGACGACCGCTCGTTCGCCCGTTCGCTCGCTCGTTCGCCCGTATGCTCATTGCTCGCTACCTACATATTGCTAACCACAAGCGAACTCTCCCAGTTCAGGCAAAGTGCGAGGACCAGTACGGTCGTGTTGCGTTTCCCGCTATCTCACGTATCAGTCCGCATGAATAGCTCGGCGCGTGAAGGTTGACAAGACCGACCTGCCTATATCTCAGTCTACCTGTCGATCGACCGATCAAAGAGCAGTCGATAGTATTCGTCGTGATGAGTGTGCGCGGCAAGCAAGTGCAAAATGGTACCTACGAGTTTGATTACATGCGAGTACCTGATACTAGAACTCGCTGGGAGATAATTCGCGATGGTATCTACAATCCGACAGAAGGAACGTACTGTGGTCATCCGCCTAAAAAATGGGGTAAGTTATTCCAAGTATTTCAAACGTCTGTGTATTTAAATATTTAGACGTTCGAACAGCTGAAAGTAGTCATAATTGGATATACAAAAAGGAATTTAAAAGTTCTACTCGTTATTACTTTAAAAATGATGTATAAAATAAAATATTTATGTTACAACGTTAAAGATTATTTTCCACACATAATTCAATACAGGAAAAGGAACTTGAATATTCTACGTGATTACACAAGAAATGATTTTGAAACGTTATGTTATACTGGTATTAATATTAGAATTTTGTGAAAAAATTATGAGATACTTTTGAAAGATTTTTGCGCGTAACTCCACATTATAATTTTTTAAAAATTATACTTTACCATGATCAGTACTTGCAAATTTCTGAAAAAGATCGACGTTATAAGATGAATAAAAAATAGATAATATAAACCACACACTATTCCTATAAAGTATAAACTGTTTAAAAATAAAATATTAGATTATGTTAAGTTTAAAATTTATTAAAATAACTATGCTGAAAAGAGAGAGAGAGAGAGCACGAGGAATAAATATTTAAAGCACAGGAAAGCCACTCTGTTTCTCTCGGACACGTTTTTTTTTTTTTCAAATTCATCGTTATTGAATTTCGTTTTACGCAGACATAAATTATAATGGTAAATTTTGTGTGTAAAATCAACTGATTTTATCATATGCTAATGTCTTTTTATATAACTATTTCAGATTAATATTTACTACTTTGTATTTTAATATTGAGATTTGACAGTTTCTAAATTTTTTTAATTTAGAAGAACATTTCAATGTCGGTAAAAATATTCCATTGATTAACATCGATTTAAATTTAAAAGTGGAATACGAATGCATTATTTTACATTGAAATTGACTAAACAAGGTTTTGTTTCTATAAGAAAATAAAACATTCGTTTTAGAAAAAATTGTTTAATTACAAGGTCAATAGTAATTATATTTGTATTATTGTCGAGATTATATTAAAATAATTGCTATTTTCATGTTAGACAGAAGAAATCTTATGAGTCACGTAAAATTTTACGATCAATATTTCTTAAAGACTGCAGTAAATCTATTAGGAATGTGTAATGATACTTTTGCAGTATTACTATTAGTCAAAACAAGTTTGTGATCGTGTTCAATTCAAGTAATTGATATTCTTAATCTCATTATCTCCGAGTGTAGGTTATCGATTTGCAGAAATCAAATAACAGCATGACGTTAAAAGAGGGTATAATGATATCTATTTTGGTTCATTAAACGTCACTCATTAGACGTCACTCTGTTATCCAAAGTCCTACTTTTTTCATATTTTGTTCTATATGTGTGTATACACATATTGATAATATTGTTTTTCAAATTAATTTTGAAATATTTAAGTTCGGTATTTATATATTTACGAATCATATATTTATGTTCCTTCACACAAACAATTTATAAATTATGAAAGAAAAATCATATTTCTGCAGTTAGAATTAAATGTACAATCAAAATGTACGATAAGAATCTCAAATACAAATCATTCTGACTAAAGAAACATTAAACACACAATTACTTTATTGTGTAATCCTAATCTGCAATAATATATGTACATAAAAGCAAGTATGCTTATTTTATAATATTAAAAATTATTTTTCCAAATTTTTAATAAATTACTTAAATACTGTTTTTCACAATTTTCATCTTCCTATTGAATTTTTTTAATTATTAATATTTTACGAATAACACACATAAATTTCTGAAAACTTTGACATTCTTCTTGAAAGCAATTTTAGACCGAAACGATTAATTATGTATCGAGTAGTAAAGTAGCGTTATCGTTATCAAAATAACCCAAATAGCATAGAGTATACAACTCAAAAAGAATTTTTTTTTAATGTAGTCGTATGTCATGAATTATTAGTTCATTTTAAAATACAAAAAGAATTCTTTTAAAAACTTTAAAAAAAATTCTTTTCGCATCGAAAAATGAATTCAGAATTAATGACATATGATTGAATTCTTTTTGAGTTATCTGTATGCTATATCTGGGAAGTTAGATGATCGAGAGATATTGAGTACTTTTCAGCAAGTGACGCAGATGACATAGTGTAACACAGTGAATCATGGCATCTTTGTAGTTTGCCAATGTTAAACAAAGATGAAATGATCACTATATTACACTGTGTCACTTGCTGGAAAGCATCAATTATTCCTATCACGATACTTTTTCAAAGGATGAAAAGGAAGCATGTTATATCTATATAAACGCAGAGAAAAATCTTATCAATATTCTTAGTATTTCAATGAAAAATGAATATTTGATGATTAATCATTAACGTTTAGTGAACTCAGAAATTAATTTCATCAATTAACTAAACGAATTTTTATTGTATATAATGATTGTTTTTATTCGATTTGTATAATGAATGAAAGAGTTGTCAAAAGTGAAATATCCAACATTGACACGTGTGTATACATGTTGAGAACGTTTTACGTAGACTTCTTGGCGGCTGCTTAGAAGCAGTCGACCCTGAGTCTCACATTTTGGCAGTGACTAGTGTGAGAGAGCACCGGAAATAAGTATCGGTGATGGTAGCATATAGCGAACAACGAAGGGGGCATTTGGCCGCTTCAGCACGACGCCTTTCTTCCAAATCTTAAGATGTGAATCATGTTAATCGCGCTTTGACCTTTGAGTAAGCCATGCTTAGCAAATTGACGTTCATGAGAATGTTAGAAACCATTTTCCCTTTTCTTTCTTTATAAAATGCCAAATTTTTTTTATAATCTCATTTTCAAGATTTGGAGAATGTATTTCAGAACGCACACACTGTACGATCGAGTATGCATGTTTGTTATTAGTGTTTTACTTATTTTTGACCGAATCATATTTTTCTTATCAATAATATTATCAATTTTTTCGTATATATACATTTTTAGTGATGTTACTCACTAGATTTCGTAGAATGTTACAAAATGCACTCGAATTTCATATCTCTTACGATTTTATAATCCGTGTTCTTAATACCCCCAGAAAACTTCGTTACATTTCGCAAGATAGTTGCTCTTGTTAGAGATATATATGTAACTTACGACGTAGAACGATTTGTGAAAGTCTTGTTTGACTCGAAAGAAACTCGTCATGGCCTTTTTGTATCTTTATAATGTCTTTGAGAAGTCTTCCTTCCAGTGATAATTTGAATTTGAACTAATTCGAAAGCAAACCAGCTGGCTTATTATTTATATGTTATCTTCTCAATTTGATTTCCTGTAAAAAATTTTTGTTTTTCTAAACTGCAATTTTTACTAGAAAAAACGCGTATGAATTAATATAATCGATAATTCAATTAATAATTAATATCATAATTATTAGATACAAAAAATCGCGTATGATTTACTTTTTTTACTGAATAGCCAATGAATACAGTTATGGAACAAACGTTAAAAAATAGGGAAATGAGTTAAAATTAGTTGAGATTAAATTAATAATTAAATTAAATTAATTATTGCAAATAAGAAATTCATAATAGAACGTTATTTTCTTCATCAGTCGTATAATTAGCTAAAATGATATAATAAATTAAACAAGCATGTGAAATATATATATATTAGACGCATGAATAACTATATGTTAGTAAAAATAAAGATAAGAATAATGATAAAAGCTGTGTCTATGATTAGACACATAAGAACGGTAGTACAATAATCAAATTAATTGTTAAAATAACGCATTTTTGTGGCGTAACTAATTAATATATTGCAAAATTGAAGAGTCTTTACGAAGAAACAAATAAAGAGCAATAAGTTAAGAAAAAATTCCGCCACAATTTCATGGTTGTAATAAGTTATTAATTGAATTCCAATTAATTTTATGCTTGTTATATATATGACTTCTCTTTTTTCTCATTATATTACATCAACAACAGGGCACAATTTTATTAATTGATGTAAAATGCTAATGTTTGTGTCTTCGTTAGGGCAACGTTTCAAATGATACTACGTGCATGCCAATTGCTAAAAATAATGTATCCAAAGACGTCAGGTACATATAGGTAAATTACTTTCGCAAATACATAAATGAGTTAGATAAACGTTTTTTTTTTTTCCGAAAAAAAATAAGAAAAATTTTGGTGTTATTTTTAACAATAAGTCTTTGACAAAAATATTAGTCTTGTAACATTTTATTTATTGCAATTGAAGAATTGACTTTATATAAATATCAATTTTATTGACTTTATAAATTGACTTTATATATTATAAATATCTTTTCTAATTTTTACAATAACATTTCAATCGTTTCATTTGAAGAAGGATATCAATACGACGCTGATTTCGGGTACCTAAAATTATAGTCTCGGACCTTTTGGTTCTTGAATAGTAACGTCGATTCCAATCATGTTTTCTTTGGTAAAGTTATGCAATAGAATACAATAGAAGTCGGTGAAACGTGATCGCGACCCGTTTTAAGAGAAACGTTGATCACAAACGTGTTTCGTATGTAAAACAATCATCGAAAGATATATGCAATGCCGTTCGCTCTTTACATGCAGTTTGATCACTTGATCGTTTATTTGCATTTGTTGCATCGATATTATGATAATGATTATGACGACGTTGATTAATGCGGCATTCTTAATTAATTTCACGTTAAAATCTGTTGTTTTTTTTAAACATTCTTACAAGCAATTTCAAATTGATCATTATTTCTTATTCTTACCAATTTTACTCTTCGTGTTTGCATGTATTATTGACATTAATTATCGTAAAGTTTCAACATTTGACGCAATCAAATATTCTTCGAAATAATAAATCTTATGGTATTTATAAGAATTTTAATATAATGCGCTTAAAGTCCTAAACTTTTAAACATCAAAATAAAAACTCAACAATTATAATCGCTTAAAGTAATGTATTAAAAATAAGTTATTACAAAAAATGTAAGGTAGAAAATAAAATTCTATTTGAGTAAAGAATGTACCATTCCTCTATCTTCTAAAAAAAAACTTTTACGTCCGAATACATAAATATTTCAACAAAGGCAGAAAATATTTTATTCGTTAAAATGAAAGAAAAACTGCATGACAATAATGTAATAACATTTATAATTTACAAAGTTTACGCGCTGGCATGTGCCGTCAATGTCATCCGTCAAGAAAATGTCGTTTTTCGACGATAAGATTCCCGTGACAAGATAATTCAAACGTCTTATCACGAATATACTTTTTTTTTTATTAATCTGATGTCATCACGTTATTATTTTCCTTCTGTACAGGAACCAGTAGCGTGTTCACGAGAAATATGTGTTTGACCAAATTATACATTACCGCGGTCGTATTATCGACAATGATGGCATCCGATGTCCGCTCTATTTATATGATTAGAATGTTCTTCTTCATACATGAAACACTTTTTATGATCTCTCAAACAGTTTACGGATTGACTAACGATGAGTCAGTGCGAATGTATTGTATATGTCAAGCACGCAGAAAAATCGTTTTTCAGGTTTCTGGCTGTTCGATCCTTCACGGATATGTATGTAATGTAGATTAGCACGAGGTCGACACAGTGATATTCAATCAACAGGTGTTTCGCGGTGAGCGAATCTTTTCTTAAGGAAACACTTATATTTAAATTTCACAATATCTCAATAACTACGAAATTAATAACATCTAAGGAATGATAGAGAAATATTGAATATAAAATACAATAGATACTTGTTCTTCTTTATAAACTTCTTTATATAATATTATTGTTGTATATATTATATATGGTATTTATTAATTAAATGATAATTTAGAGATAATTTATGCGGGTCTTACCTAATAGTAGTTTAACTTACGTCAAATTATTATTTTGCTAGAATATCTGACTCATAAGAATTTTTTTAATTTGCATACTGCATATATATGCGACGAGTGATAAATTAGCAAGTGTGTTACTGTGTTCTTTACCGCAACTTACAGTATAAGTCACATGGATGTATACTATTATAGATACATATAATTCAATTTGTAACTTTTTACACTAGTCAAATCCAATTCTCACGCGGTTTCAGTGTCGCTAAATTCTCGTGTGACCAATCGAGAATCGGATAGAATTGTCGACAAAAACAGAAAATGGCGTTTTGCTGAACAAAATTTTTGAACGACGACAAACCGTACTGGCATTCAAATTACCGAGAGTCCTACATGAAACTATTTAAAAAGACTTTCTTATTTAAAAAGAATTTTTTAATCTCTTGAAGAAATTCACGCGTGCAAATATTTCTCGTATTCATATACTTCGTCAGCAAATCCGAAATAACAAGCATGATATGAACTACCCATTTCTTTAACTATAAATTTTCTTATTGTTTTCTTATCGCAATTTGATTTAAGGCCGGTATTCATAATCAGTTCCTATGATTAAGACCGTCTTAAATATCTTATCCATCTTAAGATATCATAAACCAGTCACAGAGCTCTATCAATATTTTAAGACACACATTACTTAAAATGATCCAGCTAATGTCTTTTAAGTTATAGTTTGACTTAAGTTTTTTATACGCAACGAAACTCATATGAAACTCTCTGTAGAAACTTTACAAGACATCTATGACGGACAATAGAAGCATATTTTAAATTTGATTAATTCTTCTCTTCGTTTTTTAAACTGCTATAGTAAGTATTTGAATATTATTTGCTCAGCTTGACCGAAATTCCGAAGTAACTTAAAGTATTATCGAGAGATAATATTCTGTAAACGTCCAAAGAACAGTTTATACGTCCTGAGGATGAATGTGCTGTGTGGGGAATTATAATCGAAAGCACTATGTCGTTATAGATCAACAACCGGGTGATGATAACATTCCCGATCACGTGAGGTCGCGTGTATTATCGTGTCGTACTATGTAAATCTCATTCTATAGCTCTCAGGTTTTATCTTGCAGCCTCTGCTCCGAAATATGTTTTACCGATTTCGCGTTCCCGATCTTACGAACAAATTTCACTTTTAAACTGCCGAATAGAAATTCCAAAGCCAGATAGCGCAGTCACGTTTGATGACAATCGTTGTGGTTCTAGTGTGTATAGTAGTGAATAAAAGGCCCACATTTTTTTCACGCATCTGTTTTATATAATCATTTGTCACTTATTAGTGGTGTTTTTTTTTAATTGCGCGACGTCTTCTGCGCTCGACTTCTATTGCCCTGTGTCCTCTCCAATTTGTTTTTAAATTATAAGGAGTCTTAATTGATTTTATTATTATAAGGCTTATTTTTGAAAATAATAAGTTTCCAAATTGATCTAAAACACACCCAAATTTTATCGAAGTTGGTTATATCATGATTTTAATACAACTTGTCGTATATCTTAACGTGTTATAAAATATTTGATAGTTTGGTACATTAAAAGATACTAAAGAATTAATAATTGATAATTTTAAAGAAAAGTACTTCTATTGCGTCATTATGTGCAACTAGAGAGCAACTCTCTAATAAAAGTCTAGACACGAACCGCAGTTTTGTATGCAGAACAGATTTTAATAAAAATTTACGAAATAGAGAGAGATACACATTTCTTTTTCTTTCTCAATATATTCTATCTTTTTCTTTTCTATTTCTGTATCTCTTTCCCTCTCACAGGAATTGTTAAAGTTAAAACGTAGTGGACTAATCAAATGACTTTCTCATCAATTCTCACGTCCAGACCCTTATAAGAGAGTTTCTACGTGCAACGCATATTTTTAGTAATTTTCCTGTGAGAAAAAGCAAGCAACATTAAAACTGAAACAGAATATATTTGTTACCTTATAACAAAAAACTGTCATTTGAATATTTTGAATAAGTATCACTTGCACGTAACACATGTTATTATTCTAAAATGTATCACATTGCATTCATTATGCAAATCAAAATAATGATATGATGAAAAGTTACCAGGGACAATTCAAGAAATCTAAGCGCTTATCGTCGACACCTCAAAGGAGATATGATAAGATGCTCGATAAGCTTTTGTTTGGAAGTTCTCAATTTCAAAGACATAATAACAGATGCCGTATACTCGTTATCAAAAGTCAATTAGGAACATTCTATCTCTTTGAGACACTTCAAAATAATTTCGTTATTTTTTTATAGTAAAATTATTTATAATTATTAGATAAGAATAATAATAATCATTAAACAGTGATTATTAAATCTTTTTCCTAGATATTCTCAACCTTTATATTTTTATCACAAAATTTTGAAGAAATTAATGACAAATAAAAATATGCTCATACTGAAAAAGATCTTGTTACGCGTTAATTATTAATTATAATCTCGAAAGAATCAAAATTTAGGATAATTAAAATTTATATGATCAGAATTTGTTGTATTTTTTGTTAATACAATTAGAACGTTTTTCTTTTAGTAATAGTTTTATAAATTCTGTATTATTGGGCTGCATTATTGACTATATTATAATGTTTATCTAACCTTTTTTTAATGCCTTAAAATAAATCTTCATACAACCATCTTTATGCTAGACTGGAGATAAAATAGATAGAGAAAAACAACATTCAATAATTCGACATTACATGCAGATTTAAATAAATCTTTTTCTTCAAGATATATTTTTTGCAAATGCATAAAATTACTTATTTTTGAGCCCGTACATAATATAGGATATTTAAATGTTAAAACTTCCAAATATTCATGGATCCAATCTTTAAGAAATATTTTAACTTTTTCTGAAGTTTTAATAACAGTATAGTGGCAGTTGGCCGCTATCATTGCGACTCACATTGCTTCTGAAAAAGAATCTATATTTAGACTGTGCGCTGGCACAGTGCCCTATGCTTTAAATATTTTCCATTCGATCAACGAAATGGTGAAAATTTTCGTATCTGTGTGGTTGCGTAAGTGACCGAGGTAAGCAGGTCATGACGCCAAACTACGAGTTTAGATCTGTCTAAAAGAAAAAAAAAATGTGTAGGAAAGAATAGTTCATGCGTTAACTCTCACATGGTTTTTGGGCACACGCTTGCAGTCGCGTGCAATTATCTAGATCACGCAACGGCGCTCAAATGCGTCAATGACGGAAGTATAAATAAATGATAACTCTTATTTCTCTCTCTCTTTTTCTCATAAAATCGTGAAAAAATGTATAAAAATTAATAATTTTTGAATGAAAAAATTTCATATTCTTTGCATACCATGTTAATTTTTTTGAATGCGTAAAAATTTGTGACAAACTTTACAAAAATCTATCATTTTGGAAGATATTTTTATATTAATCCATTGTTCGTTTGTTTAAACTATTAAACATTTTTACGTAATAGAAATATAGAATGGTAGCATAATCAGAAATGTTCTTATAATGTACAGAATATAAGGAAACTTTTGTAGAAGATAGATTAATAATCTTCTCCCACGGTTTTGTATTCCTTCAGGCGTAACTCTTATCTTCTACGCTTGCTTCTATGCTGGGCTGGCGATACTCTTCAGCATTAGCATGAAAGGCATGCTGGCTACGTTGAGCTATGAGAAACCTAAATGGACCTTAAGTAGCAGCATTATAGGTACTAATCCAGGTAATTATTCCGACATCAAAAAGGTTATATTATAAACCAATCTGATTATTTTTTATTTTTAATATATTACTTTTTTTGACAATATATTTTCAATTATTATGTTATTTGATAGAAATAATTATTTATAATACACGCTTGAATTAATATGTTTGAATTTTTTTTATTGCATTTGTCAATGTATTTATCAGGCTTGGGATTCCGACCAATTTCGGATAATCCCGATGAGAGATCACTTATTTGGTATAGCGCATCAAATGCGACTGAAATACGAAAATGGACGCAGCGCTTGGATAACTTTTTAGAAAGTGAGTAATATGTGTGGAATCTAATGACTTATTGTTAATAATGGCGTTGCTGTTAATTAGTGTTATTAATACATACATATGCATAAAATACTAATCATCAGTGATATATAAAAAAAATTATTTAAAAAATATTATACATGTATTTTCAAAAGAGCTATTATAATTTCCATTGCGATATAAATATAATTAATGTGTGTGTTTTTCCAATTTTGTTAAATTTAAATTAAGTTATCGATTTCAATTAAGTTAATTTTTGTAAAATATTATCATATAATTTAAAATACATAAACATCAAATACAAATGATATTTATAAATATATAAATATCGTTTTATAAATATATATGTAAATATGTTATTTTTTAAATATATTTATTCGATTTATATATCAAAAAAGATATTCTTTTCATGTATGTACGTTATGAGTCTGCTATCGTTAAAACACTTTTTTTTATAGTATAATTATAAATTAAGCATAAAATCCAACCGTGTTTCTGTTACTTAAATAGACTACATCAATTCATCGCTTTTGCCAAATGGCGGTAGAAACCAACAAATCTGCAGTTATAAAATGCCAGCAAAGACTGGTAATGTATGTGCAGTTGATGTGAATAATTGGGGACCATGTTCTCCGAATCAACAATACGGTTTCAATAATTCGGCGCCTTGTGTTTTCATTAAACTTAACAGGGTAAGGCAGCAATACACGCATAAAATCTTTTGTTAAATTATATCATATAAAATTAGGATAGAATGCATCTTAATTTATTCATTTTTTAAGATATATTCTCTTATTATTTATTGTAAATATTTAGCAATATTAATAATCCATTATCTTAAGCCATTGATGTAAATATATTATGATTATTTGTATATAATTTATTTGTAAATTTATTCACAAAAAATTATATTTATGAAATTTTATATTCCGTATAGTAAAAATGTCCAAATTATCACAGGAATAGTCTAAAGATATCGCAACTTCGATAGCATATCTTTATTCAGGATATTTGTGCTGTGTGATAAAGTAATCTAACAATAGTCGTATCGTCTAAGAAAAAAATCACGTAGAAAAAGATTTTTCGAAATTGTAGCATTTTTTATGTGAAAATTTTATCGTGCCTGTGTATTTATACACGAGTTATCGTATACCTTACACGTATCTATACACCTTGATTGCTGCAACATTATATATAAAAACTTGTTTAATAGAGATAATAGCTTATGTAACACTTCACGCGAATCATTCTGTATAAGATTTCTCTCTTTTAAAACTTTTTGAAATATTATTTTTCAGATATACGGATGGGTTCCTGAGTATTATAATAATACTAAAAATTTACCGTCCGAAATGCCAGAGAACTTAGTCAAATATATAAAATCAGTCGACGCTTCATGGGTTAGTTAGTCGGTCAGTCAATTATATTAGTTGATAAAATAAATCTGGATCGAACGAAGATCGAAAAAAAAATTTATTATTCAAATTCGCAACCCGTATCGGTGTATTAGTTTATGAATTCTCTCTTACAGCGATAATTTAATTTTATATTTAAAGCTTAAAAATAGAAGAAATACAACTTAAAATAAAATGAAGAAAGAAGGATTGTATTGGAAATTATTTTTCGTACTTGGCGATAGAACGGAAAACTATTATATATAACAAAAATATTCTCAATAAAATATGATACAATTTTTATCTCTGTTAACGATTAATTTTCGTATTACCTGTTTATTCAACAGCCAAACGAGAATAAAGATTGTGAATCTTTATTAATTGTATATATTTTATCCGTATGTGCATATTTGTGAGATACGTTCGATCTACGAATACATATAACTAGAAATTATAAAGATCATTATTATCTTTCATTCGATTTCTTTGTTCTTTACTAATGTTACAATAATACAACTCTTGTTATACGAAATATTTTATACAATATGTATATAATAGATACTCTATCGGTATTTGTATAAAATATTTTATAAACAGTACATAACAGCATTTATGCGTATATGTATAAAAATAATAGAGAATACCTTCTTTTAATATGAGAAATGTAATTAGATTAATTTAAAACAAAATTTAGTTTTATTCGATAAAGTTTTAGTATATAATGTAAATATATATAGAATATATGTTCGGTAGTAATTTTTTTTCAAAGAATATTATTTAAAAATATTATGTTTCTTTAATATGCTGTTTAAAATTTTAAAAATCTCCAACTTGGAAATTTGAACAACAATTTTAATTAATTGTTATTTACAACCGTAACTTAAAAGATTTTTTTTTGTATAATCTTGAATGAAGTTGTAATACTTCACATAATATACAATTCATATCTTTTTCACATTGTAGCTGAATACTGTATGGGTATCTTGCAAAGGAGAGAATCCTCATGACCGAGAAAATATCGGCGAAGTGAATTATTATCCTAAAGGACACGGTTTTCCAGGATACTATTATCCATATGAAAATACTCCCGGATACTTAAGTCCAGTAGTCGCTGTTCATTTTCTTCGACCAACAAGTAAGTTAATATAATTAATATCAAATATCTCCTAATATAATAAGAAAAACGGAATTGTTTATTTTAAAAGAAGATTACAAGAATGCAAAAAATTTCAAATCGCGGTAATTTTAAATTTTCGTATAAATAATATTGTATTATATTTCATATAATGTATTTTATATAAATAATATTATATTATGAAACAATTTCGTTAACACTTCCAACTTTTGGCTTTTTTAAAATCGTTTTTGTAGCATTCAAATATTTTCAAATGTATCAAGTAACAGTTAAAATTATCGAAATGTTTCATATTATATAGTTTTTGTAAACGTGATACGCAATTTAAACGCGTATTGTGTATGGATAAACAATTTTTTTTATTAAAACTACCAACACCGACTGATTCATGTGACTTGTAAGCAAATGACGCACTCCAGATGAAACCGGTAAAAGCCGGTGTGTTGCAGCACGTATCGGTCGTCGAAAGGTGTCATCGGCCTGCATGCTCACGTAAAGCTACATTCGTGGTTTAATTTCGTCTTGGTTTAATAATCTTTCGTAAATCGTATATATTTTTTTAAATATCTGAAATAACATATATGTGAAAACTGTAACTATGTTTTATGCATTTCCTAATGCATAAATTTTATTTAGTTTGTATTTGTAGATATAAATAATTTTAAGAATACGGTAAAATGCAAAACAATTACAAGATCTTATTATGTATATTTGAAAATTATTAGACCATGTCTCAAACTCGACAAGAGTAAACTGCTCAACGTTGCATTATTGTATAATCAAAGTTATAGTTTCATTAAAATGTATATATTAAAAAATCCAATTTAATAAAATGTTCTGAAGTTGTCTAAAATTTAAAATATACATCTCGAATAGTACAATTTATTGGCGAGATATTCATTGAGCATTGACATGCATTAAGGATAGTGGCCGGGGATGTTTAAGTTAATATTACGCCAATAAATTATCCTAGCTATTGATGCAAGAGTTACTTCACAAACATTTTTATTTTAAATCAAACTTTTTTTTGTAGGGAACCAAATCATCAACATAGAATGCCGGGCATGGGCGAAGAATATCGAATACAGTTCACATAAATCCGAAAAGAAGGGTGCAGTGCACTTTGAACTGATGGTTGACGAATGATTGGACGTTACAATCGTCGAGATCGTCCTCGACGTGTCCCCTGATTTCATAGTTTATCATTTTTTTTCCAAATATATAAAGAACTGTGCACGAAAAGATCCGAATGTACGTTAAATAGTACTTAGTGTTTGGATCTTCAATCACAATGACAGAATACCTAGAAAAAAATAGAATAAAATAATACATTTGTTATCTTTTAGAGATATTGCTCACATATATAATTAATCAATAGGAATTCTTGCTTATCGAGCTACTAGTTTGAATTTTTAATCTTAAAAAGTCTTTTGTTGCTTTTTAACAAAAAGAATGCCTTTTGTTGATTTATATCAGGTACGTACAAACAAGATACTAATCGTGGGAGATATATAGAATATGACTGATTTTCGTTCAATAAGAACGTTTCAAATTTATAGCATGTAATAATTATTGTACATATTTTAATATTAAAAACGTATTACTGATTAAAAATAAAACAAATTGTGTAATTTGAAAATCTAAAATTTACTATAAATTTATATTAGTTAAATATTTATTATTTTTATATTTCGGCTCCTAAAAATGTTTTTAATTCAAAGGATTCAAACTAGAATAAAGCTAAATTAAAACTTACACGTTTAAGGAAACACAAGATTTAAAAATGTAAAAAAATATTGTATGAACGAACTATGATATATGATGCAATAAATTAAGAAGTCAGTTTTTCTCTTAAAAAAAAAGACAATTTAAAAAAAACTGTAACTTTGTCAAAAATAATTGCATTGAGATTTTTAAAAAGTATCGTTGTAAAATTTAAATCATATTATTATATTACTAGATAGGTAAATATAAATTTATTGTTTTTCAAAGAATCATAAACGCCATTTACAATTTTTTATTATATCGCATAGAAAAACTTAATTTAAATTCAACTTAATCTAATTTAACCCACTTTAACATATTTTAAAGAGCGTACATAAATACACTGATCGATTCGTTTTCCAATTACATCGACTTTAAAACCACACTCAGACTTCTTTATTATACATAAAATAATAGTCTTTATAGCAATAAATGTTCTTGTTAATTTTCTATTATATAAATTTCATATTTCATTAAATATTTTAAAATAAAAATATAAAAAACAAAATGTATTTTTAATCATTCAATTTAAAAATAAAAATTTACAAATCTGTAATGTTATAAAACTGTTAATTTTTGACAATAATGATAATTTCTAGTGTATGCTTATTTAAAAAAATTATATTTTGTATTATTTTACAGCCATGAACTGTTAATCGTACAGCAATCGTTCATCGAGCATCATTAATTCTTATATACTATTTTATTATTATATTGGTCTCAATGCAATTATTTCGACAGAGTTACAGCGAAATTAAAAGATTCTTTCTTTTTTAAAGAAATGATTATTTATTCTTCCACACATAACATAAATAAAAGTTTTCATAATCCTGATAAAAAAAATTCTCACAATATCTCATAAAATTTTCAAGAATTATGCATACTTTAAATTTATAAAGATTTCTAGAAATATGTTAAATGTTTTTAGATTTCATAAATTTTCTTCAGAAATGATAAATTTAAAATTTTATATTTCAAAATTTATACGTGCATATATAAAGAATTTTAGAAAAGATGTAAACTTTTCTAGTTTTCTTGAAAAGTGTTATAATGTATAAAAATCTGAGAGATTTTCTAAGAATTACAGAATTCTGAAAAATTCTGAAATTTTTTTTTATGTAGAAATACTAAAAAACTATATGAAAAATTATAGAAAAATTTTTCACCAGATTAATAATTCTATTTAGTATTTGTAGATCTATATACACAATATAAAAAAATTATGAAACATACATTTAAAAAAGAAGTTAATAAAAAAGTAACTAAATAGATCATCAAAAAATATAACTAATTTTCGCATAAAAATATTTGAAAAGTTAAAAATGTAAGTTATATTATATTCTTCGAATATCCTATATATCTCTTATTGTCCAATTATCTTGAATTATTTGTACATATCAATCTTAGAATTAAATAAGATATAGATGCTCGAATTATCGATATGAATAATTTGCTTACAAAGCATCCTGGTACTTATCGAGGTGTAGGTGTATTAATATAAATTGTATAGAATAAAATGATGTTGCGTCCTATAATAATTATTTTTTAAATAAATGACAATGGTGGAAAAATAACTCGACGTACAGGTACAAACGTCTTTTTAAATAAAGGCGAGCATTGTGTAATCGTTAATTTATTCATTGCGATTATATGATGATGTTAATTTATTATCTTACTCCTTGGCTCCTCTGTAAATCTATTCTATATGTTATAGATCATATATGGTAAGTGAATTATACAAGAGTAATGTTCTTATATATATTACGGACATTTGAAATATTCAATAAATTTATCTGTAAGTTTTAAAAGCAATAACCTATTAAAAATATTAGGTATACATATGTATATTATATATTATCCCACGTCAACAATGTATACTTTCTATATATCCTTTTTACATGAATGAGGATTACACACATCAATGTGATATCTGTTTAACAATATGAGAAATCATTGTTTTAAATATTGTTTTTTATCCTTATAATTTGTCACCAAATTCTTTAGCATTAATATTGAATTTTTATATGTATTATATGGTATAGAAATGCGTAAATACTATATTTCTATTTTATAATATTTGTCAGGAATAATGGTAAAAAGATATTTTATGTACCATAGCTAAACTAGAGTTAAAAAATAAAAAAAGACAATGAGAATATTTGAGTAATCAATATATTGCGATATATTTCGCATTTTATAACACAAGATGTATTTATATTAGCGTAGGGTAAAAAATTTGACTCTATAATTGCTGTTAATCTATGCTATGTAATAAATATGACTTTCATAATTTTAAGAACATTACTTTTCGATTAATTTTTGTAACGTCGGGTATATTAGCCGCAATTCGATTCATGCTTTTAATGTTCGCGAATATCATTTGTTCTTGTTTAATTTTATAGCATTTTCTCTTGGGATACACTGAGTGTAACCTTGCACTACACCAATTGCGTGTAAGTTCTGCACTACACTAGTGTACATACACCATGGTATACACTACTACTACTTCATGCTATCGTGTTTAATCCGGTTGATTTCCATTTACAAATTTTAAATGTTACACTGGCTCTACACTGTCCTTTTGAGATCGTGTAACGAAATCCCACTTGGTGCATAAAATTTACACTATACTATAGCCATAAAAACACGTTACACTGAATAAGTTTGCCTACCATCAGGTTTACCAAGGAAACACGCTGCACTGTCTGAGTGTTGCATTGGTGTGCGATAGTGCAACCAAGAGAAAACGTTATTAATAAAAGGATGATAAAAATAATTCCAAAAGCATTGCGAGTGTGAATCGGGCAGCGGCCATTATTTTCACTTATACAATTTAATAATAATTAAATCGTATATCTAGTAAAGGAATGAATCAGAAAGTAGAATTTTTAATTTTCCCTTGTTATTAACTAAAAATTGTGCTCAAATAATTACAATTTCCAACTTGATGTAATACATGAATTGTCCACTATGGATTCCGAGAAAAAGCTAAAATTTATTAGCTGCCATTTCTTAAAAATATTTCCACTTGTAGATTTAATCATAAATAAATCGTAATTATATAATAAAAAATAAATTGATATCTATCAATATCTTAATAATGAATAAAATAACATATACCTTTTATCATTAATCCTACCATTAAGCATGAGTCATTTAATCATTACGCTGACTTAACACTTTCTTTGAGTTTATTTCTATATATTTCAAATCTATGAACACTATTTCTCTTCTTTTCCTTAAAGAAAAGAAAATTATCTTATTTGTAAAATAATTTTTACAGCACATATAAACAATATTTTAAAGTTAAAATTTAATCAAAATTTTTTTAAAGAAATAAGAAAAAATGGAGTATATCAAAATTTTATCCTTTAATTCATACTTTTTATGTTATATTTCATTATTGAGAATCTGTTCTTTATTATGTGCAATATAGGCATATGATATTGCATGATAGCTCCATAGTATTTTATCAAATTTTTTAATATTTTCACAGATACGGTGATACTAAAAATCTTAAATATTGTCGTATTTGATATACTTGCCAGATTTGTTTCAAATTTCTTATTTATAAGAACCCTAATAGCAAAATGTTATAGCGCGTTTCACTGGCAGAGCTAGTGCGCACTCAGTGCACATTAAAGTCGTTTTACACTATTCTAATCTGATATTAAAGTAAGATATCTCAATTGATAAAATGCTTATTGTGTATTTTGTCAAATAACACAATAAAATATATTGAAGATTTTATGTGGTTTTAATCATTTTTTTATTTTTATTAAATATACATTTCTATGTCGATTTGTGTACAAAGGCATTAAAGTACACTGAGTGCGCACTAGCTCTGCCAGTGAAACGCGCTATTAGCAATTTAGACCTAAATTGGCAACAAGCTCGATTAGATTTTTATTACAAAATCATAGCCATCTATATCCATATTTGACTACAGATTTGTTAACAAAGCTGACAGGCCATATTTAGTGGCAACAGATTAGTGGCAAAATCTGAACAAAATCTGTTCGATTCAGGTTCTGCTCTCAATCTACCGTCTGGTTATGCAGAACCTTGTTCGATTTCTACTATTAATCTGCATAGCGCGTCTAGCACTTGGTCACATTTCTGACAGCAATTTGCTCAATATCAGATAATACAAACTCTGTGTGCAATTTGTTGCTCTTCTGCAATCAAAAATTGGTAGCAGGCTTGACTTAAAATGTTTGTGTCCACAAGCTTTGCTATCAGGGAAGTATTTATACGTTTACTATCTATTTCGCGATCCTTAATTTCTACTTCACAAAATTACTGACGCGTTCCAATAAGGTAAAAAATATAATATTACCTGAGAACGTATTAATTTCTAGTGTCATTTGAATATTAAAAAAGTCTTCAAAATTGCTCGCCT